TGATGACTACTACTATTATTATTATTGATATGTCTTTTATTATTTTCTTTATTATATTTATTTAAAAACAGATGTCAACTAATGGTTTTGAACATTTATAATTTTGCCATTCCTAAAAATAATATATATATTATTCATATAATAGAAAAGCTTCATGACATTTGAGTATTTTGAATGTTTCAAAATGAAATAGAATGTTTATGCTATATATTAAAGTTGTATATAGATACTATTAACAGTAATCAAATGATCGATTATATTGCATAACATGTTTTCGGAAACTGCTTATAAACTTTGCAGTGTCTGGAATGTCACTGTCAACTTTATCTTTTTTCAACAGTTACTTCGATCCTGTCTGAATATGGCTGGTATCTGGTGTTCCTGTGTATGGGAGTCTATCTGCTCATCCAGCATCTCCGCAAGAACAGACCCAGAGACAATCAGAGCTCGTCTGTCTCAGTCGTGAGCCAAGGTCAGAACCAACACTATCTGCTGTATGGAAACTGAAATGCCTTGAAAGTATTTTAGGTATTAAGAGTGTGTGTGTGTATGTGTGTGTGTGCAGACCCTGGATCTGTGGTGCAGCGCCAGGAGGCTCTGGAGGCGTCGCGCCGCAAAATGCAAGAAGAGCAGGACGCCAGAGCTGCAGAATTCAAAGAGAAGCAGCAGAGGGTGAGTCTCATGTGGGGACATGATCAGGCAGGACGGACATTCGGTTTGCAGTATTCAATTCACATTTATTTGTGTAGCGCTTTTCACAATACATATTGTTTCAAAGCAGCTTTACAGAAAATGCAAGTCTACATGACAACTTAGAGTGATCTGTTATCAGAGGTGAATGTGTCCAAGTTATGTATTTCAGAAATGTATGTACACAAATCATCATACAATATTCATGCTGGTTCTTCTGTTCTCTTTAGCTTGAGGAGGAAAAGAGAAGACAGAAAATCGAGATGTGGGAAAGTATGAAGGAAGGAAAGAGTTATAAAGGAAATGCAAAAGTTGCACAGGTAAGACTTCTGGGACGAATCTGTCTAGGCCTCAGGTGTCAGATGGTTCATTTACATATTATTTCTTCTTTCCAGCAGAACACTGAAGAAGCCCCTTCCTCCAGCTCACTGAGACCAAGGACAGACAAAAAGCCCCTTCGTAACAGTGGTATGCAGCATATTCATAATTTCACATGTTCTCTTATGATTCAAAGAATACTTTACGCTATTTAAACATTTTGGGTCTTAAATACTAAATGGAATAAAATACAGTAAAAAATTAAAAGTAAAGTAAATGTGCTTTATTTTCCACTTTTTTTTTACATGTACTTTGTAAATTATTATTATTATAAGTTTTATTCGTTTATTTCCTTAAACATGGACTAATCAACTCATTTTGAACATTTGTAGTTTTAAACATTTCTTAAAATAAGTAAATGTTTATAAGCTTCATGACAATTTGAATGTTTCATAGTGTAATATTATGTTATTAAGTTAAGTTGTTACCGATACTAACAACAATGTTCAATCAGACTAATTAACATACTTTCAGAAAGTGCATACAGAATGTTTTTTTTTTTTTTGAGTGCACTAACCCAAAAAATTAACCCATTTTCAGAATAGACCAAGATTTCACAGGGGAAATTATCCAGGTAATCAATATTGCAATTATATTTAGACATTAAGGGGATAGTTACTATTACCCTAAAATGAAAATTAAGTCATAATTTACTCACCCTGGTGACATTAGACATTATTATATTGTTGTTCAAAAGTATTTTTGCGACTTTATTTTGACTGTATATTTCTTTACTTTGCATTGTTATACAAATTAAGTTAAATTATGAAAAATAAACCAAATTATTTTACTATATACTGAGTGTGTGTGTATATATATATATACAGTATATATATATATATATATATTATTTTTTTTTTCTTCTATGTGCTTTGCTAAATATATAGCTGTTTTACTCATTATGCCTTGTAAGGAGCATTATCTTAAAGTCCATATATATCGCTGTCATCAGTGTTGGGGAAAGTTACTTTTAAAAGTAATGCATTACAATATTGTGTTACTCCCTTAAAAGTAACAAATTAAGTTACTTAGTTACTTTTTTGAAAAGTAATGTTACATTACTTTTGCATTACTTTTTTCATCTGGGCTGGGCTTGCTTGTTTTGTTTTTTAACAACAACAACAACAACAACAACCAAAGGTTCTATTTTTGGCAAATGTAAAGGACGTTTCACAGAAGTGATATGAATAAGCCTCAGGCTGAAGGCAAATTCATACAGTTGAGGGCACAGCTCGAACAAACATTTCAGCTGTGCTGCCATTCTAGATTGGAGAGCAATAGGATGAAGAAGAAGAAAGATCACTACTCTTAGGCTGTGTCCGAAATCGCCCCCATACCCTTAGATAGGGCATTATTTGAGGGGACAGACATTTGTAGTGGTGTCCGAAACCATAATGAATTTTATAGAGTGCACGTATTCAATCCCATAATGCACCGCAATAACGAATGTACAACTGATGTACGCTCAACGGATAGAGACTCTCAACATGGGGACAGAAGAGCCGTCAGTCTATAAATGGGAAAGCAAAGTAACTTGTGTTACTTATTTTGTTGAAAATTTAAAAGTAATGCATTACTCGTTACATGAAACGGGTAATCTGATTATACATGACTCCCGTTATTTGTAATGCGCTACCCCCAACACTGGCCGTCAGTTCATACTGTTGTTAACACTTTCTCTGACAAGCGGATGCGATGCGACCTGTTTTTCCGTTTGTTCATGCAACGTTCATCATTAAGCCCATTATCCTGGTTGAGACTCAAGAACTGTCAGTGTCTTGTTATTCATGTTGTTGTTTATATGATTTGCTGTCTGTTTGTATGGTAGGGTACAGTCCTTTGTCTGGAGATGGAGGAGGAGGAGGAGGAACGTGCGCCTGGAGACCCGGCAGGAGAGGGCCGTCTGCTGGTGGATGAGGTTAAAGGTCGTCAGAGTAACCTCTGACCCTTTGACCCTCCCCCATAGGAACACATAAACAATAACTGAATAAGGCTGTCAGCACTCATCATAGGACAATAGCAAAGATGGTTATTAAGGATCTTCATAAACACTTTTTTCTGGTGACAGGTTACATTGTCTAACTTTTGTTCTCACCCTCATGCCGTTCCAATCCTGCATGCTGTTATTTTTTTTAAAAAATCGATCAGTTCTATCTTATGAATTCAGATGATTTTGAATCTAGTGCACTGGTTAAATTGAAAGCTGCATGATGATTGTCATTTTTTTTGTGTTTCACAATAACAGCATTTGCAGTCAGAATGACATCAGGGTGAGTCGAAAAGGACAGATTTTAGATTTTTTTTTTTTTTTTTACTTGTCAAAAGATAAACGTATTTGAACACTTTTTTCTTTTTCTTGAATTGCACATTATGATTAAGAAACTATTGCCTATTTGTCTGATTGACAGCTTCTAATGACGCCTCCTCATCAAAGGTATTAATACTCCTGGGGCAGGCTGATGATTTTCAGTAATGAAACGTGTTCCTGTTTTTAGCTTTTACACTTATAAAGGCTGTGCTAATGAACACCTAGAGAGAGTAAATAAAAATGCAAAGTGCTACATTTATATCATTTGAAGTGGTTGTATTCTGTTATAAAATTAGGAATTACCGTTTTATGACAGATCCATCAATGCAGTTGTTAGTGATGTTAAATAGCAGCCTACGTGGTGTGTGGTCTTTGGTGTTTTCGAAAGCATTTGTTTAGGAATGACGTGTCAGTCATTGTGAGCTTTTCAGAATTAAAATGCATATTTAACGTTTGTCTATGTCTTATTTATCAGGACAACAAATGCCACGTTTTATCCTGTTTCAGGGCCATCAAAGTACAATTTACACTTTTTAACAGGTTGAAAAGTTATTTTCAGGACACAGGAAAGTCAAACACTTAAGAGATTTTTTTGTGTGTGTTAAACATTGTGATTAGAGTATTTAATGTTAGAAGTTAGTTCGAAAATTGGGACCTGGCAGAAAAACAACACGCATCGTTGTGAGATTATTCAAATTCACCCCTTATGTCCAGTTAGTTATGATATTGAGATAAAAAATAGTTGAGACGGGAAAATACGCAGCAGAAAAGAAAGGACGCGACTGAATTGCAAATTGTAATCCCGCGAGGTCACACTTTGTCCACTAGGTGGCGAGATTAGCACGTGGTTTGGTCAGTTATGGAAGGAAGGAATCTTTATAAAATTAGAGATATATTCCTTATATTACAGGAAATCATAATATGAAATTTGACTATTAAATAAGAAATATAAATATATAACTAACTAACACATTGAATTCAAAATATATAATATACTTGACACAACGTTTTTAAACTTATTTTATTGCAACATGCAGTATCCAAATAGTATTATGGTGTGAAACATTATATTAAGCGTCACAAATTCATCACGAAGTGAATGCTAGATTTGTCATTATTTATCATAAATTTGTCACATTTATTTTGTTGGCTGTAAGTGAAATATACATAAAATTGAAGAAGCAGGAGCTAGGTTGCACTTAAGACTCAATAATTCCAGGAATGATACAATAGCTTTTCTTTCATCCGGTTTTGTAGCCTGTTTTTTATGTACAATTCTTTATTAATGTTGTTATTCTGACTTAAATCTATTTTAAAGTACTTCTATAATTCTACAAGGAAAACATCGAAAACTGGCTTCTGGTTAGAAAATTGACATTTAATAAATACATAATATGTCGGTACAAAATTAACGATTTATCAAATAAATTTCGATTGTAAAACGTTTGTCTCCATTACAATAAACACAGTTTAATGGTGAATCTTTAAAAAGAACAATACACGAGAAAAAGGATGTAACGCTTTTCCCATGCATGAAACGTCATCAGATAACTGTCCTCAGCCAATCAGGAACGAGCTACGGCGCCTCCAGCGTGTCAAAAACCCTTAACAGTTAAGCCGCGTCGCCGCAGAGACGCGTTTCAAGCACTCGCGCTCACTCACAATGGCGAGATAGTCGCGAGAACGAGGATGCAGCCGCACTTTAGACAGCAGACCGTTAATTTCCCCTGACTTATCAACGATTCAAGCTCGAAACGACGGAAATACCTTCACGAATCCGATCATGGCTCGCATGGAGCGGATAGCTGGCGATTAGATGGCAGTGGCTGGTGATATATGCGGACTGGAGCGCTGCAACGTACACATCGGCAGTGAACGGTGATCAGCGGCGATCATGCTCGGACCCAAACCCAGTGTTCTGGACGGGACTGCAGCAGCGGCTGGCGTTTAAAATAAAACGAAGGCGTAAAGAAATAAAAGCCCTGACTGATCCGGAGGTTTGAGTAGAAGCTGAAATGGCAGGCAGAAGTCGCAGATCGTGGTTCAGTGTGTTGCTGGGTCTGGTAGTTGGGTTCACACTGGCGTCCAGGCTCATCCTGCCCCGGGCCACTGAGCTGAAGAAAGCGGGTCACAAGCGGCGGGCGAGCGGTGGCACGGGCGGCTGCGGAGGTGGAGGAGGGATGATGATGATGATGAAGAAGGAGTATGGAGGGGTGCTGATGCCCAACACGGAGAAGCCCGTGGTGCCCCAGTCCAACAGTTTCCTGTTCGTGGGCGTCATGACCGCGCAGAAGTACCTGAACAACCGCGCCGTGGCAGCTTATAGGTAATTCATCGCGTCCACTTACGAAGAATCACCATGGTAACTGTAGTTCCCGCCCAAATACAGCATAGTTACGACAGTGCAGAAACCGTGCTTGTTACATTTATTGCCCTTTATTGTAGTAACGTTAGTAGTAGTAGCGATAATTTTATGGTATTTTTCGACTGGTTACCAGAGTAAATTACGGTAAGGATAGAGAGAGGTCAGGGTTATGCTGGAGCTATTTTATCTCAGCTATAAGTCATTGGTTTTTGAGGGGTCGTCACGTACGATAAATCACCACGATAACCGTAGTAATACGGGATCTTCTTCAACAATATATTTATATCATATATTTTACGTCATATATTTGGGAAATACTATTTGGGGCGGATGGGAGTTACATGTAATACATTCACTTGCATGATAACCGTAGTTTACGCGGAAGTGTAAGTTAAATAGTAACAATAATTGGTAACACTTTATTTTACTGTGTCCTTTTTACACGATACATGTAGTTACTGTAGTATTAACTTTAAATTGTGCACAATTACATGCAACTAACTAACTAACTAACTAACTAACTAACCCTAAACCAAATCCTAACCCCATAGTAGGTACATGTAGTTAATTAATTACTCAGTACTTAAATGTATACACTGTAACAGGGACACCTTAAAGTAAAGTGTAACCCAATAATTCTCTGCTGTTTTGGTCGAGACAACAGTTGGATGGAGAGAGGCCAGAGTTATGCTTTATTTCAGTTGTCTAATCAACATTATATTAAAACATGAATGTACAAAGAATATAATAATCAGAATAACTAATACGGGATCTTCTTCAAACAATGTAAAAGCCTTCAGACTCTTTCTCTTATTTTTGATGACACTTCTGCCAAATAACCTTTTACCACAGTTTTGCTGTATCAAGAAAATTAATTAAAAAGTCTATGGTATTTTGGTGGAGACTGCGATTACCATGGTAAATCATAGTAAGGATGCAGGAGTGAGAAAACAGGGTTATGCTGAATCGTTTATTAGTTCCGCTTGTGGGGTTTTATAGGTTATTAAACGCAGTCATATATGAAGAATCACCATGGTCAGTATCTGCCTCTCATTTTTAAATGGCACTTTTGGCTAATACCACATTATTATTTTAGGAATAGTATTTGTATGGTACTTTGGCGGAGACTATGTTACCATGGTAATTTGTGTAAGGATGGAGAGGACAGAGTTGTGCTGAAGCAAGCATTTATGTCATACGTTTAATCAGCAGTATTTCCTTGCCAGGTTTTTTGGGGTGAATTGCCTTGGTGGAAAAGCCAGAGCATCACTGATGTATTTACAATGGCGGACTCTCATGTTGCTGTATTTCCTACAATTAATTCCTTATAGTTCTGCACAGGAGCAATTTGAAGATCTAGAGTCTAGAATCTAGAGAATGTGTTCTCAAAGGATTGCTAAACTATTATTTCCCCTGGTCTGCAATCTCAATTATTTAATTGCTTTATTTGATTTGCATATGCAAGCTAGATTGCTGAATAATTATTTCGTGCAAGTAAATGAAAAAGGTTGTCTATCAAAGCAGAGCCTGGCTGGCTCTTTCTCCAGGTTTCAGTGGTGAATGTCAGACTGACATTCGGCTGTGTCCGAAAGCGCAAATCGCTCTCTTGACTTGAGTAGTTGTTATTTTGAAAAAGTAGTTACTTCACAATCTCTAAAAAAGTATGTTCTATAGTATGAATGTAATCTGGACGTACTGCATTCGGCATGTTGTCATTATCACCTGCCTACTATGAATTCGGACATACTACTTTTGTCACATGCGGTTTTTCGCCTACTATATAGGCCTAGTAGGGAAGTATGCGATTTCGGATGCAGCCCATGTCTTCTTCACTGCAGAAGTGTGCAAAAGGTTAACATGAGTATCTTTGGATTCCCCTTCTTTAGTTGCAGAGAACAGGAAGCAGGGTTTTGGTAAAATTAGATGTTGGCAAGAAGAGGGGATATTATCTGAACAAAAACAGTGCAGCCTTTCCACGTGCTGACATGCGGGACACAAGTGTATTTTAGAGACTCGTGCTTGAGTGTCTGGACAGGAATGTTGCAATATTAAATTAAGTGCATCTCTGAAGCTCTGCTGAACTGATTTAGTTGCTGCAAGCGTCCTCCTACACTTCAGGGTCATGGCAGAATGAAGCTTTTGGCATTTTATGCTTGTTGAGTGCTGCATTTTGTTGATCTGTTTTCGTTTTTACATGTTTATAGTTAATCAGCTTGGGACTTTTTGTTTTAAAACCATCTGAATCATCCTAACGCTGTTCCTTGCTCAATCTTTTCGTCATTCTGATTATAACTCGAGGCATTATTTTTACTCAAGTCTTCAGGTGCTCATGTCAATATTCTGCTAAACCAAGTTTTTTTTTTTTTTAAATGATCAATACCAATACATACAGTACATAATCAGGAATGTGACCCCCCCCCCCCCCCCCCATATTTTCCAACCTATGAAAAATACTATGTATGATGAAATCTAATTTCATAATACATAGTACATAGTATATTATGAAAAAAATACTATGTATTTTTCTACCTAATATGACCCAAGTGAACCATGTAAATCTCAAAATGATGCGCGGCACTGTGTTCATTTACACACGAGCAGCTCAAGATTCAGGGTTTTCCGTGTCTCGGAGCGGCTCGGTTCGGACTTCGGAAGTAAGTGCTGCTCTCTGCAAGCGCTGAGTTTGGTCGTGTGAGTTTGATAACGTGCATTTGAAACCACAACATGCACCAACAGTGTTCACAAAATTGCAATTAGAATTGTTTATAAATCTGATGTCAACAAAGCTTTGAGGTTTCCTTATGGTTTTCTCCCAAAAATAAAAGCCCTAGTTGAACGTTTAACAGCAAAGAAATGAAGACAGCCATAAATATTACTATTGTAATTTAACATTGTTATGATCAATAATAATACTAAACACTTGTTTGATTTTACGGTACATAATATTATTGTTATATTATTATTGATTTGTTTTATTTTTATTATTTGAAAATTCATAAAATTTTAAAATAATAATATTTACTGTTGTTGTTGTTTAATGTTTAGCCATGTTAAATAGGGAAATCAATTTTTTATTCTTGATCACATTCCTGATAATTTAATGATGATGTGAGAATTTGTTAACAAAATTTCTGAAATAAACAACAGCAATAAGGCAACACCCCTGTATTCGTTGTGTACACATAACACATGAGGTGCAATCAGCCGGGGCTGGGCGGGGCCGCAGGGGGCGGGGCGTGTTCGGTTCGCCATGAGAGTATCGCGATACATATCGTGAGTGGTGTATCGCGGTTTTTCGGTTCGGTTCAAATATCGTTACACCCCTACTGTTAACATGATGTAAGGTTTTGGTCAAACCGCCCACCCCTAGGCCAATTTATTGATCGATCGATCATTAATTTTGAACATATTTCTCATTTTTTTGTGTGTTATGTAGGACCTGGGCCAAGTCTGTTCCCGGCAAAGTGGAGTTTTTCTCCAGCGAGGGTTCTGACACGACGATCCCAATCCCCATTGTGGCTCTGCAGAACGTGGACGACTCGTACCCTCCTCAGAAAAAGTCCTTCATGATGCTCAAGTACATGCATGACCACTACCTGGACCAGTTCGAGTGGTTCATGCGAGCCGACGACGACGTCTACATCAAAAGTGAGAAGCTGGAGAGCTTTCTGAGGAGTCTGAACAGCAGCGAAGCCATCTTTCTTGGCCAGACGGGCATGGGCGCCCGCGACGAACTGGGCAAGCTGGCCTTGGAACCGGGGGAGAACTTCTGCATGGGCGGCCCTGGCGTCATCATGAGCCGTGAGGTGCTGCGCAGGATGGTGCCCCACATCCGCCAGTGCCTGCAGGAGATGTACACCACCCATGAGGACGTGGAGGTGGGCCGCTGCGTGCGCCGCTTCGCCGGGGTGCAGTGCGTCTGGTCCTATGAGGTAAGATGAGATGAAGTTTGTGGGGCATAACGTACAATACACCTGGAAAAGGTTTTTTTTTTTTTGTGTGTGCATAATTACAGGGCCAAACCATTGTGATCACATGACCAAGATAGAGCAGCGCACCCTTTGCATAATTATTAGTGTCCTATATTTCCTGCAGCTCAGGCTCGAGGTTTATAATGCATATTGTTCGAAAATTAGACTCTTCATTGAACTCTCAGAGCTGCAATTTTCGGGTACTGAAAATTATAGGTTAGAGCGAAGCAGAAAAGGGCTGCGTTCTTTTTTTCACCATCAAAACTCCCAGGCAGGCTTTGATCCTTCAAAGGATATTGGTGATATACCTGGCCAGGTATTACAGAGAGAGCTGGACAATAGTGGAATGTGTTCAAACGGGAACATAGCCTGTCTCTTATCATTGTTCTAGATCAGCTATTTTATCAAAGCCGTTATGGGGGGTGACTCATAGGAAATGGAGCTTTGGAGTTTGGACACTGACTTTTTGAAAGGGTGACCTCTGACCGTGGAGAGGTGAGTCATCGTCTCTCCAATGGATGAAGTTCATCATCCTCATACTGTTATGGCCACATTCTCCCCTTTTCTTCTTGTGAGCAGACTGAGTAGCTGAGAACTACTTTATAAAAAGACGGGCCATTTGCATCCAGGTGAATCTAATGCAACCTGTCAAGAGAACATGTCTGTCATATTTCACAAAAAACTATACATTTTCTTTAATTGCATAAAGGGGATGCAGGACCATTTTTAGGACCATTACATTTTTTGCATCGTTTTCATGACTTTTAAGCAGATTTTTCTATTTCTCATTACTGTAAATTTTATGGATGCTTTCCTTTTGAGTTTCTTTTGTAATTGCAATATTTCTTCATGATTATTACTTTCCTGTTTTAACATTAGTTATTAAAAATTGAGCTGTTCATCGTTAGCTCAGGTCCATTTAAATAATATTTTTTTTACAAATACAACCTTCAATTTTAACGGTGTAATTGTAAATGTTGAAATTAAGATTAATAAATGCTTTAGAAGTATATTTTATTGTTAGTTTATTTATTTTGAACTAATGTAGTTAACAAATGGATCCTTATATAAATCCATATAAATGTATATTTTTTTTTCTTAAATTGACAAAATACATTATAAAATTATTTTCATACAAATTAAGAACCTTTTCCACTGCCAATTATCTTCATCCTAATGTAAAAAAAAATCTCAAAGAGTACTAAAGTAAATAATACTGTAATGCTGCAGTATTGAAAATGTATTCAAAATAACTAGCCTATTGCAAATAAGAAAGGGAAAGATCCAGATGTGTTAATGAGGTAACTAATTTGAGGAGGAAAATGTGCTTAATTTTCATGAATCATTTTTACAATGCAAAACGTTATGGTCCTAAAATAGTCTTTATCAGGCAAAAATATGATTTGATTTTGGGGTGAAATGTGACCTAGGCATGTTCCTCCATCTACAACTTCAGGTGTTTGCAATGGGAAAAGAAAACTATAGAAGAGTATTGATCTTTCTGTGCTGTTAATCTAGATTTCCTTCTTTTTTTCTTTTTTTCTTTTTTATAGATGTGGCGGCACTTTCCCTTTTTCTGCTAGTTTTGAGTAAAGCACTTAACATTTTTCTCCAACGTCTCAAATGAGTCTTTGCGTATCGTTTAGTCTACCAAGACCATCCGTCAAGGCAAGATTACCCTTTTTTCCATCCGCTCCAGATGAAGGAGCCACATGCGCAATTCGTCACTGTAAATGTGACATCGCTTTTCACAAATTTGCAAAATGGAAAAATTAAAGGGTTGGAAAGTTATCAGAGGTGCTCCATGAATCTTTTTCGGCTTGTGGAATGGGGCGGAATTGGAACCTCTGAGTCTTAACGAGTCCCCCCCTGTGACTGGGGCCGCTGGGACTTTAATGCGCATTTGATGTGTGCTTTAATTACAGCCTTGCAGGATTAGTTAGAGACGGCACAGCTGGGCAACCTGCTATTAATGTCGGAGCATTCTGCCTCTGGTTCTTTATGGAAACGGCCGAGACCTACTGCGCTGCAAGTCTCGACGGGCCCTGCGAGAGCGTCAGCCTCGTAAAGTGACCTCAAAGACCTCTCGGCTCAAAACGGCAGCCTGTTACTCCCTTAAATACTGATATTAAGCGTCTTTGTCTGTTTGGAGCTCTTCAGATGTGTATCTATCTGTGCTGCCGCTCAACTTCTGTTTGTTTATGGCCAGAGCGCAAACAGTCTCATCTGACCTCCGCTTTGGGCTTGCGGGTACTTGAGATGATTCCTGTGCTCAATTTAAGCGGGTATAACAAAATGTTCATTTTTTAGCAACAAATTTGTTTGCATATTGTTCACTCCAATAACTATAATTTTTCTAGCTAATTAACTAAATAAGCATTAACAGCCAATCAGAATCCATTCTGGTTTAAAGAGCTTGAGCATTTAAAGTGACAGAACTGCAGTGCGTTTATAATAAACAGAGCGTTATCGTGCACTGCTGTAGAATCTAATATAGTTTTTATCGTTATAAGTTAACGTTCTTGGTGTGAATAGGCCTTAATGATTCCTCGATTGAATGAGGGACGCAAGCTATATCTAGAGGTCAGATATATCATTTGGTATTAAGATGCGTTTTGGTCGATCGGATCACAAGTAGACGAGGGATTACACTTCTGTCGTGATTTCTTCGAGGGGAGGGTCTATGTGTTTTTTTTTAGTGTTTTTTTTTAGATCTTTCGGCAAAATAAGTTTGCACAATTTACATATGAAAGCACCCAGAGACGATGGAAAAACATACGAAGAGCAATCTGTTCAAATGTGTTTTCGACTACGTCGTGGTGGACAAGCTCAAAACGTTTTAGACCCCGTTTACACCTGTATTTAGTGCCGTCCACTTGTGATCCGATCGACTAAATGCATCTTAATACCAGGTGTAAACAGGGTCATAGAGACGTGTGGTTGGACTTTTCTGACTTGGTCCTGACAAAGCAACCACCCACCTTGTGGAGGCGAGTTTTGCACGGACAGACACTCTTTTATCTAATTTTTTTAACACCTAACCAGTGATATCAAACCTTAGCGGTGCTCAACCAGACTCTTGTCACCTGTGTTATATTAAACGTGTCGATCCGGGAACCTTCTCGCAGCTGCTCTCGTATCTCTCGCTTGCTGACCTTGTCCTGTCCTGGTTGCTGCCTTCCGCATATTAGTGTCTAAACATAACTGTCATGTGTCTGCCAGTCCTGCTGATGTGTCCGTTTCAATGGCAAATATTTCCGGCAGGAGAAATGTTTCAGCCGGAAGTGACAGATATATAAAATTATGTGGTATACCTACTACCTTTCAAAAGGTTGGGATCAGTAAGATTTGTAATGTTTTTGAACAAATATTATTATTATGCTCACCAAGTGTATATATAATAAAATGATAGTTTCTGATAGAGTCCAAACTTAGCTTATGCTTTCATGATAAATATTGAAGTTTGCATTGTTTTGTTGTGCTTTTTAGTAAAACAGAGACTTTAGTAGTTACAGAGTTGTAGTGTAACATACTCTCGGGGAAAGTCCTTAAAATCCCTTTTTGAGCCTGTTATTGAAAGTAGACACTGAATGTAGAAGTTCTGCTAGAAAAAGGTAGTGAAGGGCTGTGCTTTATTCAGCAGCGCAGTTTGGCTAATCTTTACACCAATTATATTGTCACATATGTTCTCTCTGAATGACGTGTGAGACTTCTGCTCCCAAATTACAACTGAAAGAAGAGCTGTCTTAGTTATTGCAACAAATGTGCCAATTAGGAGCGTTGTAAAGTGGTAGTTTGTTCCATTGAAAATAGAGAAAAGCCCTCATGCAAGAACAATGCAAAATGCTCATCGCATGTCGTTTTGTACGGCGTTTTGTCTCCTTTCATGTGACTGAGTGATCGTTCGCATTTTGATTGATATTGACAAGCTGTTCTTCAGCCATTATATAGTTGTCAGCCCATCTGTTTGCTCAGAAAACAGCCGTAAACGACGACACAAATGGAAGCTGAAAGCCAATTGGGTTCCACATTTTTCCCATGTGAGCCTTGATTTATGACTCTTGTGTCACTAAACTGTCAGTGCATTTATTTATCTGTTCATTGTCTTTGTAGAATAGACCATCTCAACATGAAATGAAATAATGAATTTAGTAACGGTAAACGCATGCTATGTCCTAACCTTGCAAAATGTGATAAAGCGGTCTCTTCCATGAAATCTGAATTTTATCCTAACCATTCAGCATTTTTTTAGTCAACTAGTTAAGACAGTGTTACTTCTACTAAAGTAAAAAAAAAAAAAACTTTTGTAATTTAAAAAATAATAATTTTATTCAACACGGACGCATTAATCATATCAAAAAGTTACAGTAGACATTTATAATGTTGCAAAAGATTTCTATTTCCATTAAATGCTGTTCTTTTGAACTTTCTGTTGATCAAAGCAAATGTATCAGTTTCCACAAAAATGTTAGGCACCACAACTGTTTTCAACATTGAAAATATTTCTTGAGCAGGAAATCATCATATTAGAATGATTTCTAAAAGATCATGTGACACTGAAGACAGCAATAAATACATTTGAAAGTATACAAATAGAAAACAGTTATTTTAAATTACTAGTATGTTTCACTTTTTTGATCAAATAAATGCAGCTCTGGTGAGCATAAGAGACTTCCTTAAAAAACATTAACCATAGTATACTTTTTTTTTTTTTTTTTTTTTTAGTAAATTGTTGCATTTTGGTCTCACATTATCATTTAGAATCTTTTTCTGTCTTTTTCTCAGTGAGCTCTGTGATGACATGTCACTTTCACAGAGTCTGAAACTGATATGACTTGTCTGTTCAATAACAATGGCCTCGAGTCATTTTGAGATCTATCCCCATGTTGGCGTCGTGTAGTAACTTAACAGCTTCCGCTTCCAGTGTAATGATGATTGCATCTATCTGTGAGTTTTCAAAC